TTTTTTTTTTTTTTTTAGTTACTTTATATTTATTAAACTTATGAAATCTTAACCCTATAAACATAACTTTATAGCTTACACTCACAGCATATTTTCATTTTAGATGTATATCGTCTGTAGTCCCAGATGTATAGAGTATGTTATTAACAAAGGTGCTTATTTAACCAATCACACAATGATTATTGAAAACCTTTTACAGGTCCACATTTATTTTTTTTTTTCCATAATTTTATTGAGAAACAAATAGCAGTGAGATAGTTTTAAACCAAATTGGTAGGACAGTTTCAATAACTAACACATTGCATACTTCCTAGTGGTTAATTGCTGTACAAGATGCAGACATGATATCCTATTTACAAACACTATTAGAACAAATCCCTCATTTGTTAAGAGAATGTAACTATGTATCCTAACCATTTTGAATACACAGATACAAAATGGACATTCATCTGTATCCCCTTTTTTGTTTAGTTCCATCATTTGAATATTACAGGTGTGTTAACTCAGCAAAATATTCCAAAAGAGTCCAGTAGTCCATAATAGTATTGGGTCTTCCGCTTCACTGGCAATGTCAGAAATTGTTGACCTGAGTCCCCTACAGCTCAACATAACAGCATGGCTTAACTTCTTATGCTTCGTTTTTATACTTTTCTGCTAGATGGTTAAGACCAAGATAAAGCAAGACCTATGCAACAAGAGTTACCACACCCAGTCTTAATTGCCATCTCAGCACCCCCCCAGGGGCGGGGCCGGCACCCGCTTGGCAGGCCAGGGAATCAAACACCCAGCACCTGTGCCTGCTTGCAGGCGCTTTAATCCGATGAGCTATTTGGCTGGCCCTGGACTTTTTTAAAAAAAAACATTTAAAATTGAGCTTAGAAGTCTGTTGGATTTTTATGATTGTCTTTGCTGAGCAATAATTTTTGTAGTATGTTTTCTTGCAAGTAAGTTCTACCATTTTTGATTAATAGCAGAAAATTCCTTTGACGCTAGAATGCTTTCTAGTATTTATGGTCAGCAATGGCAGGACTGTTACAATGGGTGATGTGCCTGGCCCCTTGTGTTCTTAGGGTTTTATGGGATAAATCTCTTGGACTATCATGCTTTATGAAATTGTAAATCCAAGTTATATACACTCTTTTTTAACTGATTTCTAAAAATCTGTTTAGTCTCAAATTTTTAAAATTATAGAAATAATGAATAAAAGTTTAATGAGGACAAAGCATTTTCATTTTAAAAACATAATATTAAGAAATTACTCCTTGCTAAAGCCACTTGGTTTTTTTTTTTGTTGTTGTTGTTGTGTATAAAAGGCAAAAGAAAAATTTCTAATCTTTTGCTTTGGAGCAAGTCCAAGTTGGCTATAGAAGTTTCCTAGAAAATAAGATAAATTTGATGGGAAAATGAGTGATTAGGTATTATGTTATGCAGCTAACGTCTTAGAAATCTTTTGACTCCCAGAGAATTTATGAACTTGGATAGCTGAAGAACATACATACCAAGCCACCCCATGCATCTTTTTTGTCTGAGTCTTTTCTGGTCCCTGTTTCTCTCAGTATGGTGCACTATAATTGGCTTCTATAGAGATAAAATATCAGGAAAAAACCCAGGACATTTTTTTTTTCTATGCACCAAAAATATAGTTTAAGCCAAAGTAAACAAAATGCTTTACAACACATTGGATAATATCTTTATATATTTGTGCTTTTCATATTTAGGAAATTCACACCCAGGTGCAGCAAGATTGTTATTGACTTTGATTCAATTAACAGCCGACCGAGTCAGAAGCTTCAGTGAGTTCAATCTCATTAAATCTACAGAAGTTTGGGACTCTCTTCGTCTAAGAAGCTGCTAATGCCTTTCATCTTAAAGTTGCATATAACTTCTTATTAACTAGCCCAGCACAAATACACATGCAAAGGATGTATAGCCTCAAATCTCTCTTACTGTCCCTCCTGTCGTATGGAATCTACATCTGTTTAAACTATTGGTTTAGGGTTGGAAATCAGGGACCAGTCACGCAAGCCTGGAATAAGGGTATCTTCTCCCTTGTGACCTTGTTTGCTGGGGTCCTGGTTGCACTGCAGAAGAGCATTACTCCTCTGTCATCCACTTTGTGTGTGTGTGTGTGTGTGTGTGTGTGCTGGAAGGACACATAAATAATTGTTTGTGTTCTTAGAGGATGTGGCAGCCACACTGGTGTGCACATCTGGCCCAAATGAAGCATGACATGTAGTGCCCTTGGGGGAAAAATGGCACTCAAATGACAGTAGCATTAAAGTATTTGTTGCAGAGTTGAGGGAAGCCCCTACCCACCCACCCAGAAAACCTAGATCAGATGGCACATCTGTCCTAACAGATGATCAGCACCATTGAACCAGGAATATTTCCTCTGTTCCTGCTATCCTGTTACATGCTGGGTAGTGGCACATTACCCCTCTGGGGGTGGGGACCCCTGTTATTTTGGCCTCTTATTTTTGGTTTGTTGGTCACATGGAGCTGTTACATTTAGTTTATTTGACTAATGAATTGTTCCCAGAGGACACAGCTTGTCTTATTGCCACCAGCAGACCACACCCTGCTGTGGTAGCAGCTGGGATTGCACGAGTGGGCGGTGTTGGGTATCCCCCACCTCTGCTACTTCTGCTGTGTAGAAACAGGTTGCTCCCTCTGTGTGCCAGCATGGTTCATTTCCAAGGGTGCTCCATAACCAGAGAGTAAATTAGTCCCTATCCTGCAAGTGCATTGTGAGGAATGGCACTCACCTGGAGGTGGCTCATTCCAGGTCTATTGGTGATGGAAGCTCATTTGTGTTGGAAACATGCCTTCATCTACCCAAACATCACCCTAAATATGCTTGGTGCCTTTGTTGAAACAATGGTTTCTTTATCTTAAAAATTACTATTTTCTCTTGAGTGCCCTTATATTTTGAGGAATTTTTATTTTGTCTCTGAGGTTTTGTACTCCATGTTCTAGGACCTTGTATGATTTATCTCCTTGCCAATATTAAAATCTTATTAAAATTTACCACACCAAAGTGTGTTTGTGTTTATATTGTAACACATGTTTAATTCTGTTTCTGTTTTTTTTCTGAGAAACACATTATGGAGGTTTAATGCTTAGAGAACAGTATGTTTTCCTAGGGTGGATGAAGGATACTTTTCTTTTTGGTTGTTGTTGTTATGTTACTGGGATGGAACCCAGGGCTTCATGCATGCTAGGCAGGTGCTCTGCCACTGAGCTACATTTTAAATCCTTTTTAGAATTTTAAGACTGTTATGGCTTGTGTCTAGATGACCCTCCCAAAGCCTCATGCAGTTATGGGTGGTGGCTGGATCTAAAGTGTGTGGTGCTGGATTAGGGTATCTGATTACACAATCAGTCTACCTATTGGTTTGGCATAGTGCTGGCTAGGAGTAAGGGTGTAAGTGCTACACCATTTTAGGTGGACTCTTTCTCCTCTGCCAAGCCACTGTACCTTAAAACCAGCCAACTAATGGACTGAAACATCTAGGGCAAGAAAACTTCCCAGAGCCAGACAGACCTTCCCTCCTTTAGCTTTGGGTTTTATATATTTTGTCTGAGCAATGAGAAAGTAAGTAAAATAGAGTCCTGCTAAATTACCCCACTGGCCTTAAGCTTGTGATCTTCCTCAGCTTCCCAAGTGCCTGGGATTCTAGGCATGCATGCGCCACAACAAGCTGGGTGACACTATATAGACCAAATTTCATGTTTTAGGAAAAGGCCTTTTTTATCAGTCATCCTAAGTTCTCTGTTTCCCTTCAGACTGGATGCTATGGTAAGTTGCAGGCTCCTTCACTGCCATTATGCTTCAGTTCCCAAGTCTATCGTCTGCTGCCCTCTTAAGAGCTTATGCGCTCTCTTCTCTTTTTTTCCTTGAAACTCTTTGCCCTCAGTGTGCTTCATGAAACTAAAGGAGATATAAATCAGTGAAGAGATTTAAAGATAAAAAATAGGTTCCCTTTTTATGTTGCTACAAGTTGTAAGTTGTGAGCCCTGTTAGCAAGGATTATATAATTTTTTTGGTCATATTTTCAAATATGTCTAGGGGCTAATAAGCCAGTGGTACATCTAATTTATTTAGTTTTGATACTATCATATATATTGTCTCAGCTTCCTACATTGAATTGTAGCAAAAATGTTTTTCTTTTCCTTTTTGGGGAAATTTAATAGGAAAGGTTTTTTCTAAGAGGGATGTATGTACAGTGACAGGCTACGGTTGGGTTGTTTATGGCATGGTATTACTGTCAGAGTGAGTATGTAAGGCCACTACCTTTGAACTGTTGCTGAGCTGATTTCCTAGTGACTGGACTGCAGGTAATTATGTCTTAGTTTCTGTTATCACTCCAGGAGAGGTAGAACTGTCCTGTCCAGAGAATTCTGCAAATGTCAGTGTTCCAGTTAATAGAGGTTTGCTTTGAACTGTTGCCTTTGGGAAAAACATTCCAGAAGGAAGAAGTTTTGAGCAGTCTTTTGCCTTGCAGGCATTACTAGATAATTGTGGTGAAGGGAGACTGTATCTGAGAGAAGCATTGCTGCCTGTCATGGCTAATAAATGACAATAAGGAAACCATCTTTCACTGAACTGTGGGTAGAAGAACTACATTTAAAAGGCAAATTTGAGAGTGAAATGATAGGAACTTCATTTTCCTGACACATTTTGTAGGTTTCTCCCTTTTTATGAAAGAGCCCTTAAAGACTTTTTGAAGCCCAATAAGACTCCAAAACAAAAGTGATCTAATATATTAGTAGTCTTTTTCTAATTAAAAATGATACAAAAGATGTGTTTAAGCATAACTGAGAAAACCTCGTAAATAAAAATTCAAGTTGGTATGCTCAGTGATCTGAAGATACCATGGGCCAGGAACAATGTTTGGTTTTCCCAAGTCTCCATCAACCTGAGGATTAAAAATATTAGGATAAAGCAGTTGCAGAAGTGACTGAAGAATACAGAGAGGTAGTGTTCTTATAATACCATGCCAGAGGTAGTGACTGAAGAATACAGAGAGGTAGTGATACAGACATGTTTTAGTATTTGTAGTTCACTTTTTTAAAGGAAGCCCAGTCTAAAATGGTAGTTTCCCTAAGTTATTACCGGGAGTGCTGCCTAAAGCCCAGTGGAGGGACTGGAATTCAAGGGGACATTGCTTTGCAAACTCATCTCTTATCTGGGAACCATGTTGATCAGAGTTACAGGTGAACAGTTGCAGAGGACTAGGCAGCAGGCCCCATCTCTGGACCCAAGAGTTTTTGAGGCTTGGGTGACTTCTAAAGGAAAAGGCACAACATATTTAGGTCAGATGAGAGGTGTCTCAGGACTAGCCTTTTTTCTTGTAAAAAGAGTCTAAAACCATTTTATCAGAAGAGAATATGATTCTCCAAGTAATTCCTGAATGGCACCATGCTCTGGCTTCTCTGATGGCTCCTAGTAGAACAAGCGAAGATAGCTAGATACTAGAAATATTAAGTGAAGCCCAACTTCGCCAACTTCTTTATTGAATTAAACCACTCTCTTCAGGTACCTGAGCCATGTAGACATAATCAGCCCTACGTTATGTTTACTTTGTGTCTGCATCCCTTAGAAAACCAGAGAAGAGAAGGGCTGAAGGGGAATGACTTCAAGAGACTACTTCTTACAAAGGCCAGAGACTAGAAGATTGTAAAAGTCTTTCATTAAATTGAAATGATTTGATTGTTCTGAGAAAATTGGAGGAGAGGCTCTCTGTTTATGAAAGAAAAGTACACCATCTGCTCAAGACTGGAGTAGAAACACTGGCGCCTGGCGGCCTCACAGGTCTAGTGCTTTGAGAAGGGGGTGTGGCCTTGATCTTTTGTAGCCCACTGCCAAATTTCAGTTCCACCTCTTGAATCCTGCCCACATTTTTGCCTGGCGCCATTCTTTTTTTTTTTTTTTGCTTTTTTCAGTATCAGGGATTGAACTTGGGACCTTGTGCTTGTCAGGCAGCACTCATGCCACTGAGCTCTCTCTCCGGCCTGGCATTCTTTTTTTCTAAAATTTCCTGTTTTAAACAAGTAATATTTCTTTTTCCAGTGCTGAGTATGAACCCAGTACATTGCTCGTGCTAGGGAGGCACTTTATCATTGATCTAGATCTCCAGCCTTCAACCGGTGTTCTGAGAGAATCTTCTGTTCTTTGACCATTCCACAGATTTCTAAGCTGAGCTTCTGCCTTCTGTAAAGTTTTCCTAGACCATACGTTTAATCCAGGCTTAAAGTGACTTTTTTCTTTGAAGTGCTGCAACAGCAAGATTGTCAGCAACAGTATTTTTGGCAATGAATCATACAGTTTTATGACATCTCCTACTGTCTAGAACTGTTATTGAAACATTTCATTTAACTTTTCATATTTATCTCTTCCTGCCCTAACTAGATACTAAGCTCCACAAAAAGATATGTGGTGTCCTGTGTTTTATTGCTGCTGACCCCCCCCCAGTTTTGCACAGGATCTTATGCACAGTAATTTAATACATGTTTTAATATTTTCATTTAAAAGTTATGAACCTGATTAGTTTTTAATTCAGTGAAGTAGCTGATCAGGTGCCAAATCATGGTGACTTCCTTGTGAAACACTTTAAAAAATTATCTTGTACAATGAAAAAGAAATCTTTTAACATGCAGGGTTAATGGGCACATTTATCTTTGAGAGAGTAGGGAGGTTACTATTTAAATGTGTTATTTTTAACTTTTGTGTCTCAATTAAAGCATTCTTATATATGGTTTTGAATTAAGAATTTGGCAATAACATATATATTGGCACAACACCCAGAAATGATGTTTGCGTTGAAACCCATCTCAGTAGAGGATATCTTGACCTTTCCTGGTCTTGAATCACTATAGAATACTTATTCTTGTAGTTCTTTATTGTAATTGCTGTCAGTGAAAACTGTTACATCTTGGCATTGCCATTTGGTTTAAATTTTAAGCAGGTATTTGTTGTGGAAATTCCTTTTCTGTACAATGTTGAATGTCCTGGTTCTTACTCTTTGTTGTATTTCTTTTGCTTTTTCTCAGTTTCCTGAATAAGCAAGTGTAAGTAATGTGTACCCCTGTAAGTAGCTGATACTTGACTCAGTGTCTTAAGCAAATAATTACTTTTCTCTTATAATAAAGTGTACAGCAAGCTGCATGTAGTGGCACACCTTTCATCCCAGCACTCTGGAGGAGGTGACAGGAGTATCATCACAAAGTCAAGACCAGCCTGGACCAATAGTGAGGTCAAGGCCACCTTGAACTACATAGCAAGACCTGTCTCAAAAACAACAGAAGAAGTATAGCAGTAAGCATTTACTGGCATTTGTTCAGCTATGCAGTAGTTTCAGGAAAGATCTATGCTTTCACTCTTTTATTTTTCTGATAGTCATTTTTTGCTTGGTGTCTTCATGCTTTGAAAAACTCCAAGTATCTCAGTTTCATTAAATGTACAGCAAAGAATGGGAAATGGAATGGGATAAGACAGAATTCTCTCCTTGCGTGTACCTTTTAACAGGAAAGCACAGGTTTTGCCAGAAGCCCTCAGCAAGTAAATCTCTTGGCTCACTGGCTACAGCTGGGCCACATGATCAGCCTCAGCTGCAAGGGAAGTGGCAGTTTAAAGCTGGCAGTTTGTTTGGCACTCCCAACTTCTATAGGAGAGGTTGCAGAGAGAAGGGAGTTCATGCTGCTACTCCTGATACTGTCCATATTCCTTGGAAAATTGGGAAGTCTAATTATGTACTTTCTCCTCAGCTGTTCTTGTCTTCAGCATTAAAGTTTTCTTTCTTTTTTTTTTTAATGTATTTTATGCAGGGTCTCACTATGCAGCTTGAACTTGTAGTGATCCTCCTGTTTTCAAGCCTCCCAGTTGGTATAACGGGGGTGCATCACCACACCCAGACTTGGTTACTGGCTCACCCCCCAGGAGCGGGGCAGGCATGGCCTGTGGTGCCAGGGATTGAACCCCAGTCCCTGCGCTTAACTAAGCAGGTGCTTAGTCCGTTGAGCCATCT